AATTATCGATCTGTGTGTGTGTGTGTGTGTGTGTGTGTGAAAAAACAAAACAGTATATAAAAGCGCGAATTAACACAAGCATAACGAAAGGAGAAACAATGAAGTAAGCGAAGTATGATAAATCCTGGAAGAGAGAGAGAGAGAGAGAGAGAGAGAGAGAGAGAGAGAGAGAGTCAAGCAGGACGCAGCTAAGAATGTTTTAGAATGAGTGTACTCGGTCTGCCTCTCCTCCTAGTCTACAAACGTCTATGCAGATAAAAGGTTTTACTCGGAGCAGTTTAGAGAAATCAGAAACTAAAAGCGGGCAGACACAGAGTCTCTTAGTGTTGAGTGTGTCTTTGAAGTCTACGGGGAGGGGAGGAGGAGGTGGAAGAAGGGAGAGGAGAAGGAGGAAGAAGAAGAGGAGGAGGAAGAAGAGGAGAGGGAGGTAGAGATGAGTAAAGAGAAAAAGAGAACTGGGTCTTCCATCATAACACCATCATGTCAGGGGTAGATTAGGTCAGGTTAGGTCAGGTCAGGTCAGGTTAGGTCAGGTTAGGTTAGGTCAGGTCAGGTTAGGTTATTTTAGGGATCTCCTTTCCGTGTTGTCCAGTAATGAATATCATCAGCTCTTGGTCTGGTGTTCCTCGTTAGGTGGGTCACGAGACATCTATTGGGTTCCCTGTGATGGTACCACCTTGTTTACACTACACTATCACCCTGTTTATCCTACACTACCACCTTGTTTACACTACCACCTTGTTTACACTACCACCTTGTTTACACTACCACCTTGTTTACACTACCGCCCTGTTTACACTACCACCTTGTTTACACTACCACCTTGTTTACACTACCACCTTGTTTACACTACCACCTTGTTTACACTACCACCCTGTTTACACTACCACCTTGTTTACACTACCGCCCTGTTTACACTACCACCTTGTTTACACTACCACCTTGTTTACACTACCACCTTGTTTACACTACCACCTTGTTTACACTACCGCCCTGTTTACACTACCACCTTGTTTACACTACCGCCCTGTTTACACTACCACCTTGTTTACACTAGACTACGCGTTTTTATTATCGCTTGGGTCTTTATCATGCTGTAGACTAAGGTATTATTTACTGTGTGTCGTTATATATACCTTTGTCATATATCACTAATAACTGATGAATTAATGTGTATGTAACTTTATTCACTCGTATATTATGGCACAACTCAGTCAAGGTGTGGGGGTGGGCGGGGTGTGGGGGGTTACAACTGGTGGACATTTATGCTTTTAACTTAAGAGGACTGTGAGGTAGGGGTGAGGGAGCCTCCTTCAGGGGCCACAAGGCTCAAGGGACGTCGACCAGGGGACATATCTTATTGGCCCTGATGAAGCAGCTCATTTTAAGAGGATCCTGATGGAACCAATCAAGTGCCCCGACCCGCCCACGACCCCTGACCCGCCCACTCACCCGAATCGCCCACTCACCCGACCCACCACCTCACCCGACCCACCCACTCACCCGACTCGCCACTCACCCGACCCACCACTCACCTGACCCACCCACTCACCCGACCCACCACCTCACCCGACCCACCCACTCACCCGACTCGCTCACTCACCCGACCCGACCAGTCGCTTATGATGGTGATTTTTCTCTACCGTTTATGTCTCTCTCTCTTTTCTATCCACTAGGAGTAATTGATCGTCATTTGTTTTTATGAGTCAATCATTTTGCGACTGGAAAAGCAATTATCTTGGTCAAATACATCTAGACATTTTATTTTCCTGTGTTGGGTCGCTGTCAGATATCATTCAGAAATGCTATCGTCATGTCCTTGAAGGTATCGTATTTACGTAACCTAATTCACCTAGTAACACTAAAAATAACTTAATGTAAATCAGGTGAGTAATTTGTATATAAATATGCCTTAAGACTTTACCTAATAATGCGATAATCTTGAGTTTAATGAGAGATGGATTCGGAAAAAGAAATTATAAAGGAATTAACTTTTCCATTAGTACTCACGGTCCAGTTTTAAACGAGTCGTATTTCATCTCTTACATAAACGGCGTTACTGAAGTGAACGAGCGACCGGTGCTACTATAGCTTGCGGTCTACAAGGATATCTTTAGTCTAACCTAACCTAACTAACCTAACCTGTATTACATTGTTACCTGGAGTCTACATCAGTTTAGTTGGACACATGAGGAGAGGAAACAATGGTTGTCCGGGTAACGATAAAGTGCTTGTCATAAGGGTGTCTCCTCTTTCTTGACTTTCTTTGTCTTCGGATAACTTATGAGGAAAAAACATTTAGTGGTGTTAAGGGGAAGGTACTAGTGTTTTAGATCTGAATATAGTATACTATTTTCTCGCCCCTTCACCAGACCAAAATAATCCTCACTCTCTCTCCAAGCTCACAACAAAACACGTCTCCTGAAACGATCTTTTAACTCCTCGTAAATGACTGGGAAGCTTTGCAACACAAGCTATTAACCCTGCCAGGTGTTGTGTTATTTTCCGTGTTGTTTTCCACTATATTGTGTTTGTGAGTTGATTCGCTAATTTAACAAACAGTGTTGAGTTGGGTGGGGGTGAAATTTAAATGAAGAGGTGACGTGTGTTAAAAATATCCCCCAAGGCGTCATTTACCCACAGGTCTGGCAGTCCCACGTCATCTATGAGCAGATTCTGGAACACTCGAGTATTTTTGGCATCTAGAAATTCGCCTTGCTTTCATTATGATGTCGCTGATGGACTGGTGGTAGTGTGAAAAGCCTCTTATAACAATTAATGCCTCTTATCTGTATGGTAGGTAACAGTGTAATACAGTACCTTAACAGCACTCTTGCGTTATATACATATAAAATAAAATGAAATAAAAACGTTACAGTGTTCTCTTTCCGTCAATATTAATTGTTGATGGACTATGGTGCAATTATTCGCACAGTACAAACTTTGTTACGCGCTTAAAGACTTTAGTTGTTGAAAGTCAGTAATAACATTTTAATGACAACAAAACATTTTATTAAGTTTATACTGAGGCCACAGGAGCGGTGAGTTGTGGCGCCCGAAATTAGCATTTTTAATGACGTCAGGAGGAGTGTTGAGCTCTTGTGTGGTGCGTTATGAGCAGCTGCCGCCCCTTGATGACTCACGCCACCACACCCTCAGGGCATATTATCTCATGACTGAATATTTTATGAAAAAAGTGAGTGTTTGATTTCCGTCATAGGAGAAAGGTAGCGTAAAGGAAATTATATTTTTTTGCACGTAGACCTGAGGGAGTATCGTCTGGTAAATATTAACATGTTCTGGTAAAGGCTGAACCATAAGTTTACAAGCTGATTAATATTTCATCAATGTATCTATATAGAAAAATATGTGTTGATAATGACGTTGTAGGATTTATTAAGTTATAAAAAATCGGCATAATTCTTGTAAAACTTAAAAAAAAAATACTACTCCACAATACCCATTTCTTTTCCGTGTATAAATGGCCACAAGGCTTTTGTCTCGACCCCAATTTGTACCGAAAGTTAATTTTCTCAATTTACATTTTTTATGTGTCACACCGTATATTATACCATATATATGTATACAGTATGTAACAGACATGATTTAATTCAATTTGAATCATTAGCAAATGCTTGAGGGTGAATGAACTCGGTACCTTACTGTCAGAGTGCAGTTAGGCAATTGGACGGTGTTGGCCTCGTGTAGCCCACACCACTGTGACGTCAATCTGTCAAGAGTTCGTAATCACCAAAAGGTAGAAAGTTATTTATAAATTAATTGTGTAAAGAACTAACCAAAGCACAGTGCAGGTCTATCAATCGTGAATAGTAATGAATTTTAAGTTTAATTATTCCTAAACAACCCTGTAGCCACCAGTAACTTGCTGATCAACCTTATTAACCCTTTCTTGAAAATTTACATGAAAGAATATATAAAAAATATATATGTTCTGTGGGAGCTAGAAATTACTCTTAGTTACAATATTAGTGTTGCTACGTGTCCTCCCATGTTGTATCTCTAGTAGTAATGGTGTCTACAGCAGTGTGTGATGGTAGATGCCTTTAATGCCAGCCACAAAGACTTCCATTTTAACGCGACCATTACATAACTCGCACCAACCGTTGCATCAGTGTGTAAGTAGAACGAGTAAAAAGCGTGTCTGAGAGCAATGAATGTAGCTTCAGTTTATTCCAGTCATGGCCATTGTTAGTACGGCGCTAAATATAGTTGGTGAGGTTGAATATTTCTGTAAGAAGGTAGATCGCCACGTCAGCCTCTAAAATAGCCTCATGTGAACTACTCTAGGACTCATTCAGCCTGACTTAAGGGACGTTGTGACACTTGTATTGTTGATAGAGGTTTATTATAGCTCTCGCCTCGGTCCATAGCAGTTGTTTATGATAATGTTTTTGTTTTCAAAAGTAGCCCAATTTTAGGAAAGAAGCGGCAACTCTTTATATGACCACGAGTACAGTTTAAAAGCCCTATTAGGCAGGTAAACCGCGGGCTCGGTGTCACTGCATACCGCTGCCGCAGATTATTAATAATTCTACGTTATTTCATTTATTTAATTCTCTTTCACCAACAGTCAAGTGATTGTAATTTTTCGTTATTCTTCCCTCATTCCTCCAGGCTGGTTTCAGGCATTATAACTCCTCTTGTATTAAATTCGGTGGTGCCATCACAAGTTGTCACCCCATCATCACAACAGGGGTCGTCCAGGGTGTGAGGTGGAGCAACACTGTACTGTAATGGGTAGTGGGAAGGATCACAGCACCGGTTAACGTGGATGTTGGGGAGGCATAATAAAATATTTACACTATATGTGAATTTTCACCCTTTGGTTGGGATTTATTATATAGTTCATAAATTGTAATTGCGTTTTGATTTAATTACAATTACTGTACTCCATTATTTCGTGTGCTTGTCAATTTCATATGTTAATTTCTTGAATTTTATTTTGTAAACTATAACGTGGAATCTGTTTTTTCTGACAGATGGCAATGAACTAGGTGGAACAGGCAGACATCATCAACTACACCTCAACGTGACAGAGGTTGGCACAGACCGCAGTACTCACACAGGAGGACAGTCTCTTCAACTTTTTGGTGCCAACATCCAGCCCCGACACTGTGTTATTGCACATACTGAAGGCATTGTCACTGTCACCCCATGTTCCAGGGATGCCGACACCTTCGTTAATGGACAGCGTATATATGAGACCACAATTCTTCAGGTGAGCCGAAACCCAGACATTCCATATTTTGTCTCGTACATATAATATATTCTGTATACAGTCAACCCTCGCTTTATGCGGTCCCACATTACGCGTTTCCACGTTTACGCGGTACCCTACCGAAACCGGAATGCTCACTTTCCGCGGTGCGTGTACCCCTTTACGCGGAGAGCAGCGCGAGCAGGGTGCGCACAAGGTCGCCCGGTCATCAAAACATTACCGAGTTCTTCACCCGCCACCCACCACAGCCGGCCCAAGTCAGTGATAATGATAGTGAGGATATGGACTTATGTGGACTTTGAGGGGTTTGACAAAGAGGCCCTGCAAGCCTCTGTGGTGGATAGTGATACAATTGATACAAGTGATACAGGTAAGGGCCAATAATCTGCCCTCTGCCTCAGAACCAACCCCCCATCCCCGTGTGCCCAGCCATCTTTTCTACTAATGTAAGTGTTAAAAAACCTAATATTATTGATATTTCTCTTAATTATTAATTGTGTGTGCATACCATCATAAAATTAAGAAGTTATTTTTACTACAACGTAGATATTGTGTCTGAAAAAGTGGAGTTTGGGGGTCGGCCCGGTCTCTATTTCAATTAATCCCATATGTTATGTTGTTCACTTTACGCATTTCTCACTTTCCGCGGGCCGCCGTGGGTTGAATTAACCGCGTAAAGTGAGGGTTCACTGTACAGTATAAAAAAAAAGGAAATTATTGACGACATACCCGAATTTTCAGAGAAAATTCATTTAAAAATGTCGCCATTTCACTTTTGCAGTGGACACTCGTAGTTTGGGCAAAATATGTTAAAATGGTTTTTTTCTTCAATTAAACCGAACCTAACCTTAGTCAATAAGAAACACAAGCAGCCGAAGTGTTTGTTGTTAGCAGACCGCACCAGCCTGATAAAAGAAACCTACTTAATGTTATTAACTTCCTCCTGCAGCATATTAAACAGAAAGAACTTACTTTGTTGTGTAATTTTATGTTTTTTGTGGATGTGAGAGAAGCTGCTCGGACCTGGTGGCTTGTTTGTTGCTCTAAAACAAAGAAAGAGCGGATGACAACAAAGAGCTCAAATTAGGTCTCCACACAGTACTGTTTTATTACTGAGAAGATAAAATAGTGCTGCTAGTGTGAGCCTAGGGGTCTAATTATCTACCAAATGAAGCATTTGCCCAAGGAATGACTATCATATCTGAACTGAGCGATGAAAATATACTGTAGTCAGAAAAGATTCATCAAAATAATTACGCAGTGACTGGTGTGTCATTAATATTAAACCAAAAGAAGTCTCTTGCCTTCACAAAAATATTACAGCATTAATTTACATACATTTTAGTGTATCATATTTATATAGGTCTCACTCCTTGCTCTGTAATGCTATTGTGGCTTTTTCTGTGATCTGTTATGAATTTGAGATATGCTGTACTTTATAATTATTAAACTAATATTTTCACAGGAGAACTTTCTTTGCTCTTTGTTATGATAGAAGTATCTATAATGTACAGGTATTGTACTAGTCTTTTGAGGACTTACATTAATCTTGCCCACTAGCATGGATGCATTGTCCGATTTGGCCGAATCCACAACTTCCGATTCATTGACCCGCAGCAGGACGACCGAATGCGTCAACACCATCTAATAGACAGGTATGAACACGTTACTGAACTCTAGAGATTTAAACCAAAGCTCACTCTGTATAATGTTAACCACTAGCCTAACATTTGGTGACTTAATATATGAAATAATCTTCGTAATTTTACGGTTTAGGTAATGTTTCACTGATGCCGGTGTGTGATTACAGAGATGAATAATATTAAGATGGATAACATTACACAGAATTTGTTTGTATAGTAATTAGATATATATATATACTATATGGGGGTTTCATGTACTGTACTGGAAGGTATATGCTGTACATGTTCTAAACTTGTTGCTCAGCACCTGCACTTAATGGCCCAGGATGGATGTAAATTTCTATCATGTTGTGTTTGAAGATATTCCTTATTTAATCAACTCATTGGCAAACTCACTTTCAGACTAAAACTTTGGATGTATATAAGAGCCTTGTAGTTATAGCCCTTGGTAACAGATTCTGGATATTCATGAAGCTCTTGTTCATTTATGTTTTAACACAAAGACTATTAATGTCTAATGTACAGTTCATAAAAAGGTTTTAATCAACATTAATATCAGGATGACCTAAACTATTAATGAAAATGTTAAGTGTGTAGCATGCTGACTGTTCCTCTGCTAGTACTGTACTGTCCCTGGTGATACTGGTGTGTGTGTATGTCCATTACACTCTACCCTGCTCAGTGGCCAGCATGTTGTGTGTAGCACGTAGCATGTAGCATCCCTGGGGTTGACAGGTCTGGGCAAGAGAAGGCTGCTACTGGGGGACCTGGGGACAAGCAAGAGGCTGGGGGGGACACCGTGTCGCATGCAGGGTCACACTCGGGATCTCAGGCTGGGTCACGCAACTCTAAGTCATCTGCGCAGGAACGACCCAACAAGATTGATCAAAGTTTTGAGGGCAGGTAAGAAATAGTTAGAGCAAACTTGGGGAATTAAAAAAAAATAAATAACGCAGTATAGCAGATGACAAGACAATTCTCGACAGCAAGAAACCTCTTTAACACTCACATTAAATTTGGGTCTACAGTACTGTACTGTATAGGATTTTACCTCTATTGGATGTCATCTGCTAAGATGTCTTAAAAGCATGAATGAAATTGTAGTTGCATGATCTCTGTTCTAATTCTCATGCAGCACTCGGACCATCAGACGTCATGTTATGTAAGTTAACATCATGATGGTGTGTCTTACCTTGCATTATATTGACTTATGTTAACTTTTATTAAATATATATTTTAAATGATAAATAGTGTATGTACAGAGAACTCACCATACTGAACTTTGAGAAATATGGCTATAATGATGCATATATTTTGTTTGGTGTTAAGTCCTTATTCAGTTATTGTTATCAAATATAGTCTTTAAATTTTTATTACTGCTTTACACTAAGGAGTACTGTACACATGTTGATGACTAATTTTCTGTCCAGGGGCAATTATGAACGATATCCTCCCGCCCGCGATCCTATTCTTCCTGCGGTGCTAGAGTTTCGAGAGGAGAGTGAAGATGCATTTCTTCATGCCATTACGACTGACCTTGACCCCACAGATGTACAGTTTAAGCTTGCTCCGACGTACACACTCTATATGGCTGCCAGGTTTAGGTGAGTTCTGGGTTTTCTTGATACAATATTTCTTTATTGATCTTGTATTACGACATATTCTTGTTGACATGATAATTTTAGTTCAGTCGGATACAGTTTTATTTATAAATTTGTGTTCTGTTTATACAGTATTGTTTAAGATAGACTATTTGGGTTTTTTCTGTTGTGATTGAATGGTATTAACCCAAGAATTGCTAGTCCAGTATTTGTTCACAGTTAGTTCTCACCTTAAATGCTAAATTGACAGGGTATATGATTCTGAAGTAGCTTTTACAGATGCAGCATTGACCTCAGATATAGTTTCTCTTACCCACTCAGCTGGACTTAATAACTTCACAATATTCATACAGTATACCAGGTTGCTTCTCTCTATAAAACATATGATTTATGTTTTAAGGTATATAAGAGACGGTAAGATAACTATCAGAAAGGAATGTTGTGTGTTGGTCTCAGAACGTGTAAATTGCCTGCTAACATGGAAGAGAAGGATAAAGGTTATGTAGGATGAAATGAATGCATACGGTACAGTTATTACATCGATGAGAAATTTATCATTATTGGTACTGATATTAAAGGATTGCTAGATAAATAAAGATTGATAGATAGATATTTGTTGAGTAAAATTGCCATACAAGTTTACATTGATTGAACATGTAGATAGACAATGTAGGTATGCGGTTCAGCATGTATGTACTGTACATATTGCATGTACCTACGGCACTGTATACAATATACATAGACTGTGCATGTATAAAAACAGTGTACATAGATGAATTTGTTCATTGGAACGGAAATTAATAATATTTTTCTATTAAGAGTTTGATTTGTGAATTGTTTCTGTCGAATACAATGATGTAATGGTATTTTTTTTACCTTCAGGGCCTCTACTCACTACCGTCCAGACCTGAGCCCCACAGAGCGTGCCCACAGGTTAACAGAAATGCTTACCAAGGTTGCAGCAATGGTTCAAAATGTCATACATGTAAGTAGGGCACAGTATTTGTTTTTTATTTATTTAATTTTTTTATATAAATATGACAGTGTGTGTGAAGTTCATACTGATATCAAAGCACTAAATCAATGGTTCAAGATTTTCTTCAGATTAACATAATTATTATAAAAGATGATTACTGCGATGTTTTTCTCCTCTAGTCCCGCCATGGAGACCCGACGTCACTAGCATTCTGGATGGCAAATGCCTCCGAGTTACTCCACTTTCTGAAACAAGACCGACATGTTTGTGGATATTCCCTTGACGCTCAGGACATACTTGCAGAAGCTGTACAAGTTGCCTTCAGGTATGTTAAAACTAAGTTTAGTTCTTTTGTAGATATGTTTATTATGTTTTAAAAGATAAACAGCGCTATATATGCTGTATGAGTAATGAATATTGAGGATATATTAATGTGTGTATTCATAGTACAGTATGTTTCATAAATATTTAAATAGTATTTTAACTAGAGGAAATTGGTTGGTGATTATTTTTAGAAATTTTCAAACATTCAGTACATAACATCATTAGATTTTAAACTACCATTGGTGATTGCTCACTATGTACATATCTCACAGTAAAGCAGCACTATTCTGTCATATCTCATTCACTATACAGTATGTACTACACTACTGTATTACATTTTATGCGAGAAAGTTGACCTTGTGCGTGTAAACAAAAGTTTATGTTGATCAGTTTGAGAACATCACAGTGAAGAATACCCAGAGTCCCAGACACTATCTCATATAGGATAAGTGAAGCATCAATTGTATAAATATAAAATGAATGGTACCAGTAGCTTTTAACAGAGGTGTGGTACATATGAACGATTTATGCTTCTATTTATAATTTTGTTGTCCATGATCCCATAATTCTGATACCATACACTTACTCTCAATCTCCTTCAACAGAAGTTTGGTTGACTGCATGCAAGCAGAATTGTCTACATCACTTCCCATGTTCTTGGAGGACAGAGATGATGTAAATGAAGAGGAAGGATCCACAGCACATGTGAGTCTATACCCACTATCTTGTTATTATATTGAATAACTTTAAGTATTTCAAAAGAAGTTGAACACAGAACTACATGTATATTACCTCAAGAACAGTTGGTAATGATTATTAACTTACAGGTATTGTCCATCTTGACCAACACCATGGCTCTGCTGCGGCGGTGTCGTGTGAACGCAGCTCTGACTATTCAGCTGTTTTCTCAACTCTTCCATTTTATCAACATGTGGGTCTTCAACAGAATTGTAGCTGATTCACACCCTAACTTCTGTACCAGGTATGAACTCAACCCTGATATACTGTTTAGTTTTTTGTGTGTGTTTTATATAAATTAATTGTACAGTATTACTAAATATTATAAGAATTTTTTTTTAATAAGTCATTATTACTGCCACCACCTGTGAAGTTGTCCACCTTGTTACCTGCACTAACCTGAGATCCACATGACCATTTTTAACTGCATATTCAGTGAATGATAAATTATCTTAAAATACACAAATAATGAATATGTATGTATCTATCTACCAAGTATGTATGTATTGTATGATGACTGTAAGTAAACGGCTGGGAATATATCGGGAGAAGAGGATCTACAATAATAAATATAGAGAGGAGGTGTAGTAATGAAAATAGTGTCAGGGAAAGTGGATCAGGGTCTGCTTAGGTGTTATGGCCGTATTAAGAGAAGTGATCAATGAAATATTGGTAAAAGGAGTGTATGGTGGTAGAGCTTATAATTCAGAGATAGTGGCTAGAGGGAGATGGAAGGAAGGGTGAAGGCTGTACTAAAAGTGATGGGGGTGGACTTACCAGAAGCAGTTGAGAGAGTGAATGAGATGAGAGCATAACATCAAGTAGTATTTGAGGAAGACTAAGGTCCCAGTGAGTGATGCTGTGTTGTGTCAAGTGATGGGTAATCCTGATGGTTTGGAACTTTGTTGATAGAATCTAAATATCACAGCAGTTAAAATTAAAGAATAATTAAAGGTGAAGGGAGAATGTGTGTAGTTGTTCTTGATTCCAGCCACACTGTGTTCATTGGATTGGATAACTTTGATAATAAACATAATATTTTTTGCAATTTTTCA